AGCTGTTGTATTGTTCTGTATGCCAGTGAGCCTGCCCGTCGAGGCAGCGACGATGAATTACGCCAGCGTTGTCTTTGCTGGCTTCGCGACAATTAGCGTGGTATGGTACTTCATCCGAGGACGGAAGGAATTCTCGGGTCCACCGGTCCCTAATGACGTGGAGCCCGGTGAGGAGGGCGTTGTCGCGGGACTAGCAGTACAGGACAGCAGGCAGGATGTTGAGGGTATGGGTGAAAAGGCTGTGGATTACGACAATGCGAAGAAGGGTTTTTGAGGTGGTGCACAGCCTTCGCGTTTTGTATGAATACTCACGGCTGGAGCTTGCGTAGATCTATCTGATGTATTCGTATGTGTATGTACTACTCACGTGTTAGTGCTGATGCACAAATAATGCTAATTGCAATCATCCATTTCAGATTGCTGAAACATCCCAAGAGACTTCATTGATACATGATTAGCTGTCCAAGGTGCGCCACAGGAGGTTTTAGCCTCAGTAAGGGCCCGCCGCTAAAGCCGGCGCTAGTGCATGCGGGGGGATACGCGTTGCGCGGTTCTATATTGTCGTGCCTCGCACACTCCTTCACATTCGCTCTCACTCTCACTCCAACTCCCATGGACTTGCTGCCCTTTAATAGCACGTCTGATTGCGATGAGGTAAGCAGATCTTTTTTTTTTGAGGGAATGCTGCGTGATGAACACTGCATTACACTTGACATACCTTTGGACATGAGCCAACCTAACATGCGCAGCGACTGGCAACATACAGTGATTGATCTCACCCATGATACCGATGAGGAACACAATGCCAAACGCCGTCAATCGTTGCCTGTAAGGGCAGATTACTCTGCGAGACACAATGTATCTTTACCTCCCGTTCCAGGACTAAACCCTCGCGTTCCTGCACCGAAGCCGACAAACGCATACTATCCACCTCCTCCCGGAAACAGACCACAACATGTGCAGGTTCCATCCACAAATCCTACAGTACGCCAGCAGGCACAAACGCTACACGAAGACATGCGACCGACAGTCGCGGGACCGAACAGTGCGATTACCATGTCGCAAAGCAACGGTGTATTGTTGTCCACGCAAAGACATAATGGGTACACCTACGATGCGCCGTTTGAAGCCGACAGGGCAGCCAAGAGGGCTAAGATAGACCCTACAGGTCTGTCATCCTTTGCGTCGAACAGAGTACTTTCTACCCAACAAACAAGTCTGCCCCCGATACATGCACCGCAAAATGCAAATTACTTTGGTGCCCCTTTTGGGTTGTCATGGAAGGAAGACAAGGATGATTCCACGGCTAACATTCTAACTTCGGACGCGGCCGGATCACAACAACCTACAGGCAATGTTGTGGTCAATCACCAATCAGTCTTAGCATCCGACCATTTCCGCTCGACTGCGCCCACAACCGAGTCGACAATGCCGGCCATGGACCCTTTCACGACTCGCGCAAAACGTCGCAAGACTGTTCACAAACCATTCGACACAGCCCAAGACCACTTACTAATGTTCTTGAAGGAAGTCAAACAATATAAGTGGTCGGAAATTACTGCAGAATATAACAAGGATATGCCTTACCGAGAGTATACCACACTCCAGAGTCGCTATTCTACAGTCTTGAACAAGAGAGATCGTTCCTTAGATCCACCCACTCTGGTCTTACCCCCACGCTTTGCCGCGGAGGCGAATGTAGACTGGTCACGAATTCATGCAAACAGATTTGTCGCACCTAAAACACAACCAGTGCAGCAGACAATTGAACACGACTATTCCTCTGGTGGTGATTCGGCGCTTTCTCGGGAACGGCCACGCCGTGCACAACGCATTAATTACACATGGCCAAAACAGCGCACCCGGGGCGGACATGTGTTTGCTGACGATCATACCGACGAGCATGCTGAGGAGCATATTTTTGGAGAGATGTTCAATGACACCTTACCTACACGATCTGAAACCCCGGAAGATGACTCGCCTCCACCTGATACAGCCTTTGCTGTTGATAATGACCCGGTAGAAGTTGAATTCAATGCTGGAGACGCAAAATTGGTGATGGAGCTGTATAAGAAATCTCGTGATCCTCCAACAAGATTTGTGCCATATCTGAGCATATCAGAGCGTAAGATCGTGCAAAACCCTCCAGGATTCTGTTGGGATCAGCTGTCAAGTCGCAAATGGCAAGGCTCGTTACTTCATGTGGATTTTAGCCCAGCTGAAATCAAGATTGTGAAAAAGATCATTCTCTCAGTCAAAAGGCCCTTGCAATTGAGACACAGTACAAAGCGAAGACAACTTCGAGAACTCCTAAAGGATTTCTCCGAGCCTAAGATTCTCAAACTAGTGGAAGCTCTGCGACGGCGTCTCCTTTGCCGAGACAGAAGCAGCATCGAAGCGTTTGTGAGAGACGCACAGGATGGACAAATCCCCGAGGTTTCGCACATCCAAAGACTTGCAGCTGCTCGGCCCGATGTCTCTATGAGCTCGACACAAAAACCGTCTACAACATCAATCATACGTCAGCGCGAATTGGGATGCCAGTCAAGGAGAGGGTGGCAAGCTGCTATAAAGCCTCTCACATACCAAATAAAGAATCAAATCATGGACACAATCGGCCCAACAGGCTTCTGGACAGGTGCCTCTAGCGACATACACACTGTGGCATGGGCTCCAGATGGTGAGCGATTCGCAGCAGGTGCAGTCGCTGTAGATGACCCCGACTCCATGCAATACAACAGACCTAACAATTTGCTTTACGGCAACATGGTCCATGGCTCAATACATGAGCTAGCTGAACATTACAGGAAGCGCGAAAGAACCGAAGTCGGTGCCAACTCGAGCCATGCCATGTTTGCATCGCAAGATCCAAAGCTATACTCTACAGTCAGCTCTGTGGCCTTCTCAACCAGCGGCAGATATTTGTACTCGGCAGGCTACGACAGCCACATTGGCATATGGTGTACTGAGGGCGACGTAGTGCAACCGATCCTGGGTGCAAAACTGAATGTCAAGGATCCGATCGACATCCTCTCAGTCAATCACTCCAGTGCTGGAATCCTAGCAACTGCAGCTCGTGTCGCACGAAGGTCAATACGAGTACTTAGAATAAACGAAGAGGATCCTTCCAAGTTTGACAAGTCCAGTTATGAGTCCATTAGAGCCAATGAACGACCTGATTTAAAGATTTTGCCTACCGCGATACAATTCGAGCCCCAATACGGTGGCCTCCTTCTGGCTGGATTCGGTGCTAATCTGAAAGAGACTGGTTTTGACACTACTGGAGATCTTTGCCTGTGGGACATTCAAGCCGAAAGTGCACTCCCTATCCATGGGTCGAGCAAGAACGTCTTTGACGTTGCATTCAACCCCAATCGGTCATGGATGCCATACTTTGCAGCTGGGTGCGTAGCTGGAGGTGGCAAAGCTAACGGAGGAATGCGCTCGTGCATCAGATTGTACGACATCAATAGTCTCAACAAGTTCACCTCTCCCATGGAATTCGACTGCAAGGCCTTGGACATCAATGATGTTGTTTGGTGCCCACATGACGAGCATCTTATCGCTGCTGGGTGCACGGATGGCCGAGTCTATGTCTGGGATGGTCGATGGCCAGATGATCCTCTGCGCGTTGTTTCACACGGCCGGTCTTTGATGCCGCTACAAGAAGGAATCAAACATGAAGTCACTGATACTGGCGTGAGATTCTTATCCTGGGGCGAGAATGCCACAAGACTTTACTCTGGATCTTCCGATGGCGTCGTCAAGGTATGGGACGTCACAAGAGCCAAGGAGGATACATTCATCAAGGATGTCATTACCACAAGTTCAGGTATCATGTCGGGCGCATTCAATGCCGACTACAGCAAGCTCATCATCGGTGAAGTCAATGGCTCAGCCAATGTGCTCGAGGTAGGCAGGGATGATGTCGCGCTCAAGGACGCAGAGAAGCTTCGCTATTTTTCTTACCAAGACCACGAGCGAGACGCAATCCGGGACCACGAGACGGGCGAAGTGACAGTGCCAGTACCCGAATCAGGTATCGCTGGGGCCCGACACCTCCTCGGCACCGGCCAAATGCAGCTCGCACCCATGGGCGGCTTTCCAATCCGACAGGCAGTCCAAGGACCGCGATACATTGGCCCATTCGACCAAAGCGTCGATGCGCCATTTCTGCGTCAACAAGCTCTCGAGCTTCAACTTGATCTTGCAACAGCACATGGGCCGCAATGCGAGATCACAGCCTGTCGAGAAAATCTAATCAAGACGACTAGCGAGGAGGTGGGGGATTCAGGAAGAAGTGAAGACCGTGTGCCGGATGAACTACGTCTGCAATGGAAGACTGTTGATGCCACACACATTATACCTGGCAAATCACGATGTACAAACTGCGGACGACCAGCTCGCCCGACTACCGAGTCCACTTCCAGCATCCTCTGTGAGCGCTGCTCTTTTGCCTGTTTCCGGTGTAACGCGGTCAATGGTGTGGACCCTGCCACCACAACGTTGGTGTGCAGTGCTTGCGGTGGTGTGTGGGATATTGGTGTACTGGGTTACGAGTGTGTTCATCAGCCTGCGTCCAAGGGCGAAGCCCTCAACGTGCCTAATTTGAAGAGGTGGGGCAAAGAAGTGTACGCTGAGAGACTTGAGGCTTTTGACACGGATTTTGGGGATGAAATGAATGCGTTGACGGAGTACTACTATTCGTTAGCGATTGGTCGAGCAGAGAATCTGCCGCTTTGAAGGACTATTTTGAGGGGAAATTTTGCTTGATGACGAATGGCGGGGCTGTATGATGATGATTTGGTGGGGTTAGTATATATTCAGCGTGTATATCTATTGAAAATGTAGCGACATAGCTTTGATGGTGCTGCGTGGATTTGTATCTAACATGCACTGGGTCACTTTGATGAGAAAGAGAGAGATTAATGATACCCACTTCTGCTTACCGCTTCCCTCCAAGTTGAAAAATTCAAAATGCATAGCTCAGGGTATGGAGCTCAAACTCCGTCATCGAATTCGTAATCCTTGTCCCATCGCTTTCATCACGTTATCAACATGCACGTTGAAAGGTGATGAACTGCACTTACCTTGTCCCAAGGCTTACTTCCATTCACGAACCGCAAATCCGTACCCACTCGAATGATGTCATTGGGATCGTAATTCATCGTCGAAGCGTGGATCTGTTCACCATTAGTCCATCCTTTCCCCTTCTGTGCCCAATGCACTCTGCATGTAGTAAAAAGGGAGGTAGACGTACCGTGTAGGGCGTATGCAACACGACATCCCCCGCCTCGTAATCGGTAACCAGCCACCTTCTCCCAAACGTCTCCGAGTACTCTTTCGGCCCATCAGCAAGCAAGCCATTGGACATCATGTTCTTGTTAAACGCATCCTTTGTCTCTTCCTCGGTCAACCCAGACTCTCGTGCCTTGCGCGTGAATTCCTCTTCAATCTCCCTTCCGAGATGATGTCCTACCTCTCGTCAGTCCCACACATGCAAAGGAAGTCAAGACCAAAACCTAACCATTCTCGAGATAAATCAGGCCACCGCCCGTCAACCCAATATCGCCCATGGGCACCCAAGCAGTCACACTCGTATCCTCGCCCCGCCTCAGGAAAATCTGATCATAATGCACGCCAATCGCCTTATTCCCCGGCGTATTGTTCCTGAGCAGGCTCCGCCTCACAGCCAGCGTATCCTGCCCCCACCCCGTCAGTCTCGCCACAAAATCCCGCAGGACGGGGTGCTTGCAGAAGTTGTCTTTGTACCACTCTGCATAATGTGCCTGCAGTGCTAGGTCGACGAAGAGGGCGGCGGTGGCGTCGGCGCCGGGCTTCCCGTTGTTGGGTGTTGCGCCGGCGCCGATGCCCGGGTAGGACGACGAGGGCTTGGAAGCGTCGAATTGGCCGAGCACGGGGGGTGTGCAGGGCGCGAGGACGCCACTGGGGGCGAGCATGCCAAAGTAGGATTCCCGTGCGCGAAGGACGTCTGCGCGTGGGAGGAGGGCTTTGAGGAAGAGGTAGCCGTCTTCTTGGTAGCGGCGCTGGAGTTCGGGGAAGGGGAGGGAGGGGGAGGAGGGGCGCAGGCGAGAGGCTTGGGTTGGGGAGAGGAGGCCGTCGTTCACGTAGAGGTGGTGGCCTTCGAGGGTTGGGGGTGAGGGGGAGGGGGAGGGAGAGGGGGGAACGGCGTGGGGCATTGTGGTGGTGGTGGTTTTCACGGTTGTATTGCTTCTATGAGGTGTAGTTGAGGAATTGAGTAAGCTTCAAGTCCATTGATGCTCTGGTCTTGGTATGTGTATTCATATATGTGTAGTAGCACAACGCAGTAGTAGAGTAATAAGCACGTAGACCCTGTGCATGGATTCCCCGCGGGGAAATTCCACGAAAGGCGTATCTTCGGCGTCTATTGGGACGAAAGGGGTGGGGGTTTTGTGGCGGGCAAAGTTGCTTCTTCTGGCAAAATGCACCATGTGGGGCCTCCCCCCTCCAAGCCTACCCGTCTCCTGCGGGCAAATTATTCAGGTTTTCTTGCAAGCAAAGCAAAGCAGCCCAGCTTTTGCTGGTAATTTTACTTGCTTTGCTACTACTCTTTGCTCCGCGGAGGCCAAAACCCTCTTCACCGTTTTTGTCCGATTTTACTAACCCGCACAATATGGTTGGATGCTACATTGCTGGCTGATATCGCCGCGTCCTTCCTCATCTCGGAGCACTGGAATGCAAGCATCCTCGCGCGCATGTCCAGTCTTCGTAAATTTGCCCGCGACTGTTGTATTACGGTCCCACTGCCACGCGCATACCGCGTGGCCCAGAGCAAATGCCATGGTACGAAGATCCTTGGGCCCTTTGGTTTTTTCTTTACTACCCGCTGTTTACAATTGATTGACACTCGCTATCTAGTATTCGATGCCGTTCGCGTCACTATCGATGTAAGCTTGGAGCACTGGGGCGGGTGGCTAAAATCCGCGGTGCCCTTCCCCCTTCCCGTTGGCTAATGATCCTGCGACAGGCGATGGGAAGCAGCCGAAATGTGGAAGATGCGAACATGCCAAAAAGGAATGCGTATACGAAAGTGGTAGACGCTTCCGGCGATCTTCCATATCAGATTCCTTCAGCTCCGCCCAGCCCTGGGTTTCATTCCCACCCCGAAGTAGGAAATCCACGACTACGCATATACCCCGACGGCCTTTTGCTAATGGAATGCGCTGTAGTTCAGTTTTTGGATGAATCGCCAGAGATTCGTTCGCACTACGTTCAGAACGGCGATTCGCCTTTTAGCGGATCTTCTGCTTTCTACCAATCGCCTGGTCCTTCTTCGGCAAGTGGCCAGGACAATAGCAATTTGACTCCAGGCTCTACTCTGTTTACGCCCACCGAAGGCTTGACTGTCTTATCGCTGTTAAACTCTGAGTCGCCGGTTCAGCGGAATACTTCTGCGCCATCTATGCCCCCGGATCAGCCACCCAACACGAGTGCTTATCAAAGGCATGGCGACGCCAACGCTAGCACGTTTGTTTATCAGCAACCTCCTGGCGAGCCAGTCCTATGGCCATTGGAGCATGAGCAAGAGGCTATGCTGCTTCAGCACTATATTGAAAATGTTGCCTTGTTTGTAAGTCTCTGTCCGTCAACAACAACAAGAGAAAGTTTCCTGCTCACTACCGCTAGTTTGACATGATGGATTCTAGAGATCATTTTGGTTGCCACATTGTTCAAATGGCCAAACAAAACAGTACACTAATGTGTGTGATAGCATTTGGGACCCACTCTTATAAGAAGCTGACTGCTGACTTGATGCAGGAATGCTATCCTTGCCTTGTCCGCACGCCAGCTTAGCCGGATTGCTGACTTTGATCCTTATATTGCAGATGCTTATTACCAGAGATGCTTTGATACTTTGATCCCTGCACTGAATGACAACTCAACTATCAAAGAGGAGCCACTGCTTGCAGCGACTGTTATTCTACGGCTCTTAGAGGAGATGAACATATCAGTTGTAGGAAGTGACCCCCAAGGCCATCTCTTCGGTACTCAAGCGATTATTCGCGCCGCTGAACAGTCATATGCTGCTACATCTGGGCCAGACTGGCGCCAAGCCATATACTGGGCCGCCTTTCGTCAGGAACTATGGATCTCACTAATGACCCAGAAAGCCTTCAAGCTACACATCTTCCCTGCAGACCGCTCACTCGAGCCCGCTACCGACTCAATGTGGGCTACGCGGACGATCGCACATCTTGGTGACGTGAGCAATTTCGTCTTCGGAGAAGACAGAAACAGCATCGCCCGCTATAATCAGCTTATGGATGAAAACAAGGCATGGAATCAGTGCAGACCTGACAGCTTCGATCCATATTACTTTTGCCATAAAGACTCTTCGAGCGGAAACAGCTTCCCAGATATCCGCCTACATCGAAAAGAGCATGTAATGGGCATGCAGTACAATCTTCTAGCTCATACACTACTGATTGTACATGACCCTACGATACCGCAGCTTGGGCCGGCACACAAAGCTTCACGTGCCATCGTAGACAAGGCTGTACAAGAGAATGTACGCATGATGTGCGGTGTCGCTCAGTCAAACCCAAAAGTGTTTCCCTGCATATTTGTCGCCTGTTATGCGATTGCACTAGGTACGTGCTCTACTTGGAACTTGCTCACGCATGACTCTTTCCTTGCATTTGTTTCTAGAATAATCTCTAATGTACATAGTCGGCGACCGATTCACCATACGAGAGGAGCAACAAAGCCTCCGTGATCTGTGGTATAGCTGTGAACAAACGCATGCTTTCCCACCTACCGCGATGATTGCACAGCTTGAAGAATCTTGGGGATGGCATAGCCAATGAAAACAGAATAGCCTAGGAACAATGTTAAACTGGGCCGGTGTCTCCACCTTCATCGACGACCATACTACGGATCGAATCCTTTCCGAAACCGCTCCTCGTAGAAGAGTCAACGTACATGTGCTTGTGAGAAAATCCAACGAATGAGTATGGCGCAATACTCTTACACCTTCAAAGAGCATGGCTCAAAAGAATGAGAGGGCCGGCGCATTCATCTGATTCCATTTGTGCCTTCTGCCTTGTGCCAGAAATACTGGCCATTCGGGCCCAGACTCAAGCGCTGGTATATGATTTCTCGCTGGAGAACTCTCTCGGTCGTATGGCTCGTAAAGCGCCAATGGACGCTTATCCTTGGACAACGTTGACATTTCTGTCACACTTGCTTGGTCCAATGCTTGCAAAATTTGATAGGAGGTAGATCGCTGCCAGGGAAGCGTCTCTAGGCACAGCTTGATCTTCGAATTGAGCCTGCTCGAGTAGTTGTCTCCTGCCGGTCTCCATGTATCCCATAACTGACCACCAGGATTCATTCTGCTCTTCGGAGACATGGTTCCGGTACACAGACACATCATCGTAACGCCCAGCTGCCAAACATCCGACGCCCCGCCAAAGACCGGATACTCTGGTGCATCGAAACCTGGTGTTCCCACCTGCTGCCTTATAGCCTGCTGTTCGCTCCCCGCCTGCGCAAGATGGTCCTCAGAGACTCCACATCCAAAATCCGCCAGCTTCACCACTATCTGTCCCCCCTCTTTCGTCAACAGCACATTCCCCGGCTTGATATCCCGATGATAAACCCTACTCCATCCCGACTGAAAAATCTCATCATCGCTCTTTCCTGGCTCCGGTCCCCAATGACAATACGTCAGCGCGCCGCACAGCTGGAAAAACCAGCTCCAAACCTTGCGCTCATGCACACGTCTTCCCTTGGCGACATGATACACTACCGCATCCAGACTCCCCAGATCACAGTACTCGAGGTACACGGCCGCCCGCAGCGCTCTTTCGTCGAGGAAATGATCCACCATCGTGACGATGTTCATATGATCGCTTATTTGGTGCAGCAGCTGAATTTCGCGATGAGCAACTCTATACCTGAATTCTTGAGCCCCAAAGCGCTTTTCGATGAAGACCATGCCGCGTGCGGAGGGGTTGCTGCAGGATACTTTTGCGATGCCTGCATTCAAGCCGCCGTTGAGCTTGCCGAGGTTTTTGAGGAGGGTCCAGGATTGGCGGTGTTGGGTGCGGTATTGCACGCGGAGGCGCTTGCAGTGCTCGACCATTGTTTTCTTGGATGGTGGTTGTTCTTGGAGAGTTTTGTGTTGAGATTACTGGGTGGTGGATGGATGTGTGGGTAGGCCTTTTTAACGTGTGGCGGGGAGGAATAGTTGGAGGACTGAGTGGTCATATGGTGGAGTTGTTGTACTTCACAGGCGAATATATGTCAATGGGGTGGTTGGTGGGCCATCACATATCTTGATTTCACATGTTTCTCATTCTTCCTTCATGCATTCCAGTCACGCGCTCACTCTTCTCTTTTTGTCCTCTACTGGGAGATCCATGGATTTCAATGCCCAAGATGCCTAGTTAAGGGGGACCACCTCTAAAGTGAGAGTAATGTAGATACTCCTCCGCTAGCTAAAAAAAAACATTACTGCCCTTATTACGTAGCGACGCAACGTGCCGGTTCCTTCTTACATGCTATGCTAAACTATCAAACTCAAACTAAATGTTAATACGTGTTAGGCATAATTCCAACCCGCTAGACGCAACCGCTCCTGCTGCGCTAAGCCACCATACACAAACCAGAGGAAAGAAACATAGCTCATTACCAGAACCTTTCCGCAACCAAATCATCACCATCCGCACAACCAAGGTGCATATACAACAATCATGCGTCTATCTACCCGATACCTCGCTACTAAAAAAACCCCCCATCTAGACACTACCTCGCTCCTTCAAAAAAAAGCCATACCTTCCTTCCACCTCCTAAACTGAAAGATTAATTTGATATCGTCACAAGTTTTTCCAAGCCGTATCTCTACTCTCTCTCTGAAAAAAGAAAAAAAAATTAATCCTCTCTCTTTACAATTTCTCATCTTGCATCTTTTACTACTACTACTGTCCTCTCTTCCATTTTTTTTCTTTCCCTACACGTCCTCACTGATCTTTTCTTTTACTTTGAGCTGATCAGACACCCGCCCCCCCTCTGAGCATACGGTTTGAGCTGTTCATACCACTTACTATGAGTATACGCCCGGTCCCGCGACGTAGCGATGAGGACATGGTTGTGGCGTCGTTTCGCTGTTGAGCGCTGCCGGGGGGGTGTGGGAGTAGATACAGCTGGGGAGGAGGACGCCCGCGTTGGAGGGGGAGTTAGTGGGGGTGGTGGGAGTGGCTGGTTGTGAATATTGTTGGGAAGGTTTATGAGAAGTTTGGGTGGTGTGGGTTGCTGGTTTCTAGTGTTTTTTATTTGTGGGCGGGTAAGAGGAAATGCGAGGGGGGAATTGGGGCGAGGGTTATAGGTGAGGTTTGGGAGGATGGGTGGAGTACGGTGGGGGGTTGGTGAGTCGAAAGTGAGAAAGAGAGAGTGGAGTGGTGGGTAGTGACGTGTGCAGTGTCATCAATGTCTGTTGAATGTATGGTAGGAGAGATTGATGGGAGGGAGATGATGGAAGGAAAGCCAGTGGTAGTGAGGATGCAGATGATCTAGGAATGATTTAACTCAAGATTCAAGAGTAGCTTGTTTCTATGAGCGTTCCCCAAGGCGTTGCATACCAAATACTGTTAACTGACACATGTCATTTGTTTTTGTAGTGTGGTCTTGCGTAGTGCACTTCAATCGATGCCCATTTCTGTCTATGCGGAATGTTCACAGGTTCTCGATCACTTTTCCGACTGCCCGTAATTCACTGCCATGATTGGTCAATTCTAAATGAGATCCTTAGTCACGTTACACGTTAGCCTAGTGTACTTGATATTCCTTTGCAAGTGTCTTCAGCTGAGTGATCTATGAGATAATTAGCTAAGTAAGCCACCCCCTTGAACAAGCCATGTGGCAGGAAAGTCAATCTTGAAAAGCTTGCCCAGCGATCGAGAGATGGTATCTGCTGGCCACGGGCGCAATGCGGACACACTGGGTAAAATGACCGGAGAGGGTTGTCCGTTTGAAATTGCGCAACCGGTCAGCTATGTAAGTAAGTAGAAAGTCATTCACTGGAATGTCACGGAGAGAACAAACCGAACCCGCTTGCATAAGCACTGGAGCCATTCTTCCAGCACCTTGTCCGCTTAGATGGCTCTTTGTTGGACACAAAGCCTTGCTAGTATCCAATGGCACTCTTCTCACGTAATTCAAACATGGCTGGTTCGTATTTCGTTCTTCTTTAGGGGGATGAGAAAAAGGAGTCCGTGTCGAGTTCGCAAACTCCAAAGGCCCATAATAAGCCATAATACCTAGCAGCATAATACATCCATGGCGACTACGGCGAACATTCAGATTGTAGAGTTTGTCCAAATGGCAGCTGGTAAGGCCGTGCGCACTTTTGGTGGCTTGTTTTCCCCGCCGCGTCTTGTGTGAGCTGGTACGCCCCTAAAATGTCACTGGTGGTTGTTTGTGTGTATGAAAGTACAAACTCTAACGCCACAAGTCTAGACCCGTACCCATGGTTCATTGTTCTCCGTGAGATGGGCGATGAATGACACAACTGTGCCGTTATTTCGGACGAGCTTATTATGCTTTGCACAAATTCTGGCCAAACGGTTGGGTTACAGAGACGTGCTTTTTGGTTTGGCGAGGACGGTAGGAACCTTCCGTATTGTGGGGTAGTATATGGGTACTAGCGGATACGAGAGAAATGATCGGTCAAGATGACAAGGCCCGATCTTTGGGCCCTGCCAAAAGCCCCGCAAATCAAGAGCTCTGCGAGGTTGTGAAAGAGGCGGAGGGTGGTGTGTCCTGCTAGGTCAGGGCCAAAGTCCACGACCAAACACTCACTTATTTATTTAAAGCAGACATGCCTGACTTGAGCAATTTTCATGCCAGCATTGCAATGCGATACACTAAGCCAGTGGTGCCAAGCTCACGTGACCGTTTTACATTGAGCCGAAAGTTTGATAGTAGATACGATGACGCCTGGCTGATTTGAGGTTGCAGACAACTAGTGATGACGCCGACTGAAATGTCAGAGGCTTAGGCCATACGTATACCGTCAGCAACCAAGGGACCGATGGAGATATGGCAGTGGGCACGAAGAGAAGAGTGAATAGTTTTGGGCAACTTGGATGCGGATGGCACTAGAGTATCAAGCCACGGTGCGTCGAGATGATGCTTGCGGCCGGGGCAACGACAGGACAGGTCATGCAGCCAGGACCTCGGCTAGTTACCACGTTGTGGTTTAGGGCGCATGCATCTAAATTTAGCTGAGGCAGTGCATGCGCTGCATCTTTCATCTCATCATGGATGGCCTTTTTTGCCGTTACCGTTGCTGTTGCCACTGCCACTCGCACGAGCTGTTGCATTCCTAGAGTAGGATTTTTGCCGCTTGCGCGCATCCCGCCCGGCACGTCCATCAACCTTTATGCGCGGAAGACTCAGGTGGTCGGCTGGCTGCATTGAGGTTGGGTGGCATGGACCATGTTAAGCCTCACCGCTTGCACCTTCGCTACACTTTATGTCGCCGCCAAACGGCGCATTACCAGGGCTGCTTTTTGCGCCGTATTCGTGTTGAGTGTGATAAGCGTCGTGTGAGCCTTGGCCTGAGGGATTAGGCCAGCAAGCCGCCTCAAAATCCTTTCGACTCTTCAAGTCCCTATCCCTTTCCGTCAACACCGTTCTTTCAGCTGGGGTCTGTCCCCGCATCTATCTTGTTGCTATCATCATGACATGCGTTTGGACATGTGGGCTCTGGATTCTGCGCTAATGTTACTCTCCTTTTCCGTACCTATACTACACATAGCTTCATACATAGCAATTCACCACTCTCTGTCCTGCCCCTGCGCGCTGCGTCGGTTACTATCCTTGGCTACGCCACACTTGCCGCTTCACCCATATACATACTTCGCTATCGTCCTGTCTGGTAATACTATACATCCGCTTCGCTGGAAGCATACTTAAAAGACTTGGGCCTGTCAGACTGCAACTCGGCTACCGGTATTAATCTCTGGGTTTGCCCGAATACTACATGTTGCAGTAGCGCTCCACCATAGCACTGCATCTAACCACCACTCTAAAACCATCCTCCTGGGTCCAGCCTACCTGCCCCTGGTCCCAGCCCTGGATTCATCTGCATGCGACACAGCTTCCTTTAGCATGCCACCACCGCCCACCTGCTGACGATCCCCATGACAGTCTCCAGCTATAAGCCCCAGAACCTGTCGTCCACGCCAAAGTCAGTCGCGCCGGCTGACCTGTTTCTTCTGCGCGTTGATCTCGCCTCAACACAGCAGCATCAACAACAAAGGCCCATGGCGCACGACAGTCACAGACCCAGTCCTTTGCGGCCTGCAAACGAGCTTTGGTACAGCATTCCGGCTTCGGCGACCCGGCATCAAAAAGAGGAACAAGACGGGCCAGAGTTATCTGCATACCAAGCCACGGCACACCGATTTAGCTCATGCTCTTCTCACCCAACCACGCCGTTGCGATCGCCGCCAATCATAAACTCAGATCTCAACAAACCACTACCTCCCTCGCCCTCAAATTCCGAAAGGAAGCCCAGCAAATGCTCGACATTATTTGGCCGTCTCCGTCGCGAACCTCCCCGCCAACTAGACTCGACACTTCTGCAGCCGGAACCCTACCAGCCGATCCAACGGCATTCCACAGATTTGAGTGTGGAAACTCATGCCCGTTACTCGCATATTCACTCTCGCAGCATGCCTAATTCGCCTCGTGGTTTTATTCAGTCGCCCTGCAGTAGCGCAGAAAACCTGCCCCAGACTCAATTTCCAGCTACGGATTTCTCAGAGACCTTCCAGTACCAGCCGTATTCGACACCACCACAGAATCCGTCATCACTATCTCAGCAGCAACGTACGGTTCCTTCCGATGCCCACCTCGAAATGATATCGCCCCGAACTCGCACCTTTCCTGACCCGAGCCTCAACTCGACACCACGCGATACAGCACCCAGTAGACCACGGCCGCATACCACTTGTCTTTCTCCTACGGAGCCTTTTACGGACATGTCACAGTTTCACCTCTTTGCAGAGGCAATGACTGGCCTGCCAAGCGACAACGAGCCTTTCTCTCCCAGTGCACCGCCACAGCTTCGAGGTTCAC